CCCATGAGATCCAGTTTACGGTTGACACCAGATTTTATATACCGTTTCCTCTTTATATTCATACTTCCAAAATACAATGATAATTTTAATGTGTACTAAATCAATGTGTCCTAACTTAAATGTTGTGTTACATTTTGTTAGTCTTAAGAACAGGATTATACTCCAGATACGGAATTAATTAAGACTTTATCTTCCATCATTTTCAAAATTCAGTGGGCTAACTCTGTATGCAGTACATATGAAACTGCAGCTAGCCAATTTTAATATAAATAGTTTCAAACACAATGCGGCTATTGAGTTACCTCCATGACTCTAGGTGTGTCCAGGGCGGACAGAGTAGCTACACATCTCGCAGACATGTGCCTCACAGCCTTGTACGGATGTTGCAGCAGCTCACAGAGCTGATCTAAAACTGGCAAAACCTGTCAAACAAATAAATAAATAAAAAATATCACAGGCAAGTTGACTTAACCCTTCAAAGCCGGATTTACTTTACACTCACCTAACCCTGATAAGGCAATTTTAAAACCATACCTCCTTTACCCAAGTACACTATTGGTTAAATTTGAATGACTGGACAATCAAAACACTCTTTAATATTGTGAAAAGAATATTTACCCAAACAGTTGTGTAGCCTAACTTTAAATACAGATTCTGGTAAGTTAAAATACATTTATTTCACAGTTTTATTCACATTATGGAGTGGTTCACATCACATTTACTTAGCCTGTATTGTGGAATAAGTAGTGAGTTGTATCTTGTGGAATTACGATGAAAATTTGGCATTGCTAGTGAGATATTTAAATTACATTTAATAATTAATAAACATAAAAGTATATAGGTTTATTATTCACAGTCAAAATCTCACATCAATATTTTTTACCACAGTAAAAACTAATAATGAATAGTGATTAGAGTAAGAATTTGTGATAATAAATTAATATTACCAACCTGAGGTAGAAGAGTTGAGTGAAGGGACGGAGACACAACTTCTAAAACTTGCATACTAGAGACTAGATCCTCGGCAGATGAGTCATTGTGTATGGCACTTTTCACATCTGACAAATGTAAATGAACAATGTTACCACAGTGAAAAGCAATACGGCTAAACAAAGCCATATTTTACCACTGCTATAGTACATTATGTTATTAGTCCAGAAAATTGGTGTTAAACGGACAAGTATGGTTGTTCCCACGCGTGACGAGTTTATTACAAAGAGTACATTTTGGACAAGTACAATATTTTTCACCCTATTTCTTCAAACTAACCTGACGATAAAAAATAACAAAAACTGTTATATGTCCCCACTGACAGACTTTAAAATCAATGCTTATAACTTCTCATAGAGGTTATATTTCTGTTTATAACCATTCACTGCCATAACAGACTACTTAGTCACAAAATGTTTTTGTGATTTTATCTAGAACTTAGTTACGTGTAAATGTTTTTTGTTACGTTGATAATTATGCATGTTTACAAAATATAAGAGTAAGAGATTTTCAATAGCTAAAAAATAATTACAATCATTTGGTGTCTGGCAAAATTTATTACCGTACAGTAGTATGAAATGGAATCCAATTTGATTAAGCAGGCAGAAAACAGAAATTTTCTGAACTTAATACAGAATAGTGTGACAAAAACTGTTAAAAATGTTTATATTTACATTTTTTTTATTTGCTGTAACAAATGTAATTTCTATCAGAACAGGACATAAATGACACAAAGTAAACATTTGTCAGTAATTTTTGTAATACCTAAACAAAACCATTTGCCAGTACTTAATTAGCCAAAAATAACCATTCAAAACACTGCTGACACTTTTTATGTCATTTGGTGGATCACTACTTAAAATGTAAAAAGCGGCAATCACAAGCAAAGAATTTGCTTACAGAAAATACTTACAATCTAAGAAGACTGACTTCTGTTAATGCATAGAGCACTATTTTAAGTTTTAAAATAATTTGTAAGGTTGTGTACTGGGTTTTTAAAGATTGATTTCTGTTGGTCAACATCTACAGTATGATTAAGTACAGATACTGACCAAAGGTAGCAGCACCAACAGTGTCCTGTAGGTGTGTGAGTACACTCTCCCACAGTCGGGGCAGTTTGGTGGGGACATCGGGACCGAGACGGACGGCTATGGAGGTGAGAGCTGCTGTGGCACCACGCCTCTGGACCCTGGCCAGCTTGTGTGCCTACAACAGCAACCACTAGTTAACAATTTGATTTATTCAAGAATATGAATCCATTTTGTGTTTAAATCTATATGTTATATATGATGAACCCATACCGTACTTATTTGCATCATTTCCAATATTTATCAGTAATACACATCACGTGTATTAAAAATCATCACATACATCAGTAATACCATAGACTCCAACACAAGTAGACTTCTCATCCCATTGTAAATTTTGAAGTCCAGTTTTTATGTCTAGTTAATGTCCGGTGACACTGATCGCTAGTGTTAAAAATTTTGTTTATTTTATTTTAGGGTTAAATTTATCATTTGTGCTTTACTGTACGGTTATATCACTAGGGGACAAGTTATTATTTATGATTAGATCATTTTATTTGGTAAGAACTAGATTTTAAATGACTGAAATATAATAAGAATCAAATTGAAAAAAAAACTACCTCTACAGTGCACTGGACGGAACTAACAATAAAATTGGCTTCAGATGATCCATAAGGATGAGAAATCTACTAAGGGAGTATGTTCAGTGCCGGATTTACCACTAAGCAAGAGGGGGCCGCAGAGGATTGGGAAAAACATTTTTTTAAATAAAATTTTTAAAAAATAATTTATTTTAAACCACCAGTTTGCCGCGATCACAGGTGACCATAATGATGTCTCCGTGGACCGAGGGAGATGTTCACGATTTTGCCACGGCCTCGGGTGCCTGTGATGATGTCCCGTGATTGCGGCCCGCGGGAGACGTTCATGATTTAGCCGCGGCTGCGGGTGACGTTCACGAATTAGATGCTGTATCGAGTTATCAATGATGATGTCCCCGTGTGCGGAAGATTTTCATGATATCGCCGCGGTCACAAGTGTCGATGATGATGTCCCCGTCATTGCGGTCCGCGGTAGATGTTCATGATTTCACCACGGCCGCGAGTGTTGACGATGCATCCCCGTGATTGCGGCCCACGGGAGATGTTAACGATTTCGCCGCGGCTGGGGGTGTCAATGTGGATGTCCCCGTGGTGGCTTACCGAGGAGGATGTTTACAATTTCGGCACGGCCGCGGGTGACAATGATGAAGTCCTCAAGATCGCAGTCCACGGGAGATTTTTTAACACAAATTTTCCGCGATCGCAAATGTCGATGATGATGTTCACGTGATTGCAGCCCGCGGCAGATGTTCATGATTTCACCGCGGCTGCGAGTGTTGATGATGATGTCCCCGTGATCGCGGTTCACGGGAGATTTTAACGATTTCACCGCGGCTGGGGGTGTCAATGAGGACGTTCCCGTGATGGCTTCCCGAGTGGGATGTTTACGATTTCGGCACGGCCGCGGGTGACAATGATGAAGTCCTCATTATCGCAGTCCACGGGAGAGGTTTTTAACACGACTTTGCCACGATCGCAAGTTTCGATGATGATGTCCCCGTGATTGCGGCCCGCGGGAGATGTTCACGATTTTACTGCGGTCCCGTATAGTTATGATCACCAAGCCATCATAGTTATGATGGCTTTGACTTGGTTTAGGAGAGATGTCCACGATTTCATCCAGGATCACGGGTGTCGATGATGATGTCCCATTGATGTATAGGAGATAGTCACTATTACTTCCGCGATCGCAAGGAATTTTCACCTCAGGGGGAGGGCCGCTCAAGTAATTTGGCCTAGGGCCGCAAGTACCCTAAATGGTAATTCTCGAAGTCCAATTATTGCTGCACCTAGTAAACATGATGAAATCCCTATTATAAAAATTAAACGGGCGTTTACTTTAGTTTCAATTCCTGCTGTGCTGCTGGATAAAAGTGAGGTTATTTTGATCTCACTGAGTATGTTTTATCTATGGTAATACCCTATACCACAATCATGTAAAAATATGTCAATACAAACTCTCTGTATAAACATGTATTTACAAAACTCAAAATTTATTGCTAATCCGACAGCTGTAACAAAATCATTAACTACAATTTACTGTTCAAATTTGTCTTAAGTAAGTCTATTAATACGAGAAGGAAATTCAGTGTCCATAAGTTAAAACGCTTATTGAAATGGTAGTTTTCTGGACTTCTAAAATTTTCTCCATGAGGTAGATAACCATGGACAGGAAGCTGGAGAATGAATCAGATCTTTTCATGCTTCTTTATAGCTATTTGGGTCAAATAGCTAATGTCAATTGAAGCTAAATTGGACAAAACTGGAAGCCATGACTGAGGTGTTGGCTTCAGGGTTCTTTTGGGCTTTTTTAGTGAGACAAGGTCGTTGTATGTAGAATTTGAACGTTGGCTCCCGGTGAAGATCTGGCAAGATGATTATTTGTTCTGGTTCTTACTTAGCTGTCAATTTTTGTAATTGGCTTTTGTAAGTGAGAGGTTGATCTAGGGTCATCTATAGATATTATAGAATTGTATTTGAGCTTTACACCCAGTCTGTCCTATCATCCTACTGAGGCTGCTCAAGGTTGGTAGTCCTCTAAGCTTGTCAGTCTACTTGGTATTAACAACTAAATGTTAACCTCTTGCGGAGCCAGCCTTGAGAGTGGGTTACTACCTTTTTCATTTGGAATATTTATGTGAGTAAACCCTTAAGAAATAATGTTTATATATTACAATAAAAATACCATATTTTTTGTACATTTTAAAACTAAAACTAACCACAAGACATTATTAAACATAAGTACATCCTTTAGAGACAATAAAGTCCCAATTTAAGTTCTTTAAATCTAGTCATGAACCTATATTTTATCAAGACAGTCAAAGATTACATCATTGCCTGATAAGAACCAGCATAACTCACCAGATAACAACGTATTGCAGTAAGACCCGTAAAAAATAATTGCTGCACCTAGTAAAAATGATGAAATCCCTATTATAAAAATTAAACGGACGTTTACTTTAGTTTCAATTCCTGCTGTGCTGCTGTGTGGCTGAAGGTTATTTTATCTCAGGTGAGGTTATTTTTTAGAGTTAAATAGATATTTTACTGTTTTGAATAACTGATCAAAGTTACTACATCTATTTTTATGGTAATTCTAAATTAGCGATAACATTGTTGGCAAATAAATCATGTTTAAATTACACTAGAAGTAACTGTAATCGATAGTTAATTAATTACAATTCTTCATTTAGAAACAATTTAACAAATACCTTCATCACATCTTTTACTGAGAACATTTTTAATCTTGATTAATTTCATTTGAAACAAATAGTAAGTGTAAATGTATACAGTGATGAACACTAAACATGAATAACACCATGCTTAAAATACCCCTGCCACAGCAAACCTGCAGACTAAGCAAGTTTCCATTTACCTGATTGGATTTTCAATTTAATCTGTTTAAATAACAGCAGGTTTAACAAGTACCTAGGTTTGCTGCTACAGGGGCCACGGGTAATAAAGTGGTTTTTGGTAAAATATTAATAGCTTAGGATAAAATGAATAAATTTGCCATGTTTAGTGGAAATATATCCATTAACAAAACAAGTAAATATAAGAGTTTACTTATTCTCCACAAGAATAACATGGGCATTTTTAATTTAAATTTTATTTTAATTTTCTCTGTTAACTAATGTGATTTTAGTGCTAACTAGTGTTTTTTTCTCCACTGTAAAAAAACACCTCAAGACATAAAAATATTTGTATAGTTAAGCTCTTTAAAATTTTTTAAGATAAATTGGGACATTTTTTGTGTTTAGGATCAAAAATGAGAAAAGTTAATTTTTGACCCATAAAAACCCCTTCCCAAGGTCCGATCATGCTGGTTCGTGAACTTATTCAAGTTTATCCCGCTCAACATCTTCAAGCCAAATTTCATCTAAATTGTACAAAAGTAACTCAAGTTATTACATTCACAGACGTATGTTTTTGGCCTCTTTGGCCATCAAAATGAAAAAGTATATTGTTTCTGGGTCTAGTTCTTACTATGCCACCTACGGTAAAAGCTGCTTCCTTATAGGGAAATTTGCTAAAATACTTAGGTTTACTGAAACAACAAAACATATTACAAATGTGTTTTTGGTTTAATGGGTTTGGTAGCTAGTTTTGTTTCAAATTTAAATTTTCCAAAACCATAATATTTTTATTATTTGGTCCAACTGTCTTCCAATTTTTAATAGTTGTTAGAAGACAACATTGATGCTACTCATTTTTGCAGTTATAAACTAAATATCCAACATTTAATCCTAATATTTAAAAAAATAACAGCACTAAAACTAAATTAATTAAAGAAATGTGTAAGAAATCGGCTGTACTAGCAACAGAAATAAGAAATACATCCGCCGCAGCATTAAACCTGCAGACTTAGTGAATTTACCAGTATTGGATTTTCAATTGAACCTATTTATATAACATTAGGTTCACAAGTAATGTACTTAGGTTTGCTGCTACAGAGAGGGTAATAATAAAGTGTGTGTGTTTTTTTTTTTTTTTTTTTTTTTGTAAAATATGAAAAACTTAGTATAAAATAAATAAATTTGCCGAGTTTGATCAAAATATATCCATAAAAAAACAAACTACAACAGTTTACTTATTCTCCATAAGAATAACATGGGGATTTTAAATTTATAATTCACTAGAGCGAAGCATTACAGGCGACTCAAAGATTATGAAAATACTCACGATCTTCACAACAGTTTGATATAATCAAAATCTTTTGTAAATATCGTATCTTTTTTCAAAAAGACGATCTTGTTTTTTTAGTGTTTTTAGTGTAAAAAAAAACATTATTTCTATTTCTTTTACTTGGTTGTGTTCTATGACTTTTTCTATGTTTCCATTGTTTGCAAATCGGTTATTTAAATGATTGCTCAAGAAATGTAGCACAGTGTTAATTCAGTTTTATTTTTAGCCTATATCAAATTGTCCAAGATTTCTCGCTCTTTTCCATTGTAATAATTACACCAACCCAAGTTTCGTCTACAGATGCAATATGCCAAAGAATATCACCTACTTACAATCTCCAAGAAGTGGTAAAAAAGGCAGAAACCAACCCATACAATAGATATAAGTTAACTCCATAAGAAATCATTTTAAAAGTTACTGTGATATTAGGATTTTCCACTGATTTGGTAATAGAACATTATATTGCAAAACATGACACGATGCAGAAGAAAATCAATTTTAAAATCAGAAAAATCCGTAGCAAATACTGTACTTCATTTTGACAAATTCAATAAATCACAATTTAAATATTAACAGCTGTTGCATTAAAAAGTAGTGTAGAATTATGCATATGGTCGTAATGTAAACAAATCTGAAGAGGCAACTTTAAAGGCTTCTGGGGCAGAGCCCCAAGGGAATTTACCTCTTTCCTCTTTTGATGGCTCATATACAGACCAAGACCTTTCTTTAGAGACCCCTACCAAGTTTCTTCAAATTAGCCCAGCCGTTCTCTCAAATTAGCTGTGACAAAAACCCCGTTTTCCTCCATAAGAATAACATGGGATGGGAATTTAAAGGCCACAGGGGAAGAGCCCCAAGGGAATTCACCATGTTTCTCTTTTGATGGCTCATCTACAGACCAAGACCTTTCTTAAGACACCTCTACCGAGTTTCTACGCCCAGCCGTTCTCTCAAAATAGCTGTGACAAAGAAAAACAGTTTCAAATTAATATATAGATTCGTTTTCCAGCATAACCAATAACCGCACAAAAACACTCCAATATACTAAATTATTTGTTTTTTTTTAATTTTTTTGTTATGGTGTAAAGAGATTTTGGGAAATTTTATGTTTTAAGGGTCAAATATTAGAAAAACTAATTTTTACCCGATAACATCTTGTTCCCATAGTCTGGTTATGCTGGTTTGCAAACTCATTCAAGTTTGTCCCGCCTTCCTGTAGGGAAATTCGCTAAAAGTAATAATAGTCTCTAAGATAACCTAATTAAGAAACCTACTGATAGGACAAAGCATTAAAGTTGCAATGAGACAACTAATTTTAGTGTTGGGCAATTAAATACAACATGTTTACTCATAGCTGATTTTTTTTTTTAGAATGGAAAAAGCAAAAGGAGACATAAGCAATGCAAAAGGAGACAAGCAAGGTAAATTATGAGTCTAATATGGTAATAGTAACAAAGTTTACAGGTGAAACCCTTAAACCTATCAAAATCAGGGTCCTTTTCAATTTGTCAAGTAAATTTTACTTAAAGTTATTCTCAAAAATATTTTTGATTCTTTTCATCTCTAAGTATGAATTTTAAAAGTATTATCTATGCACACGTTCTGAAAAAGCAGGGAATTCATACCTTCTACTCTCTACTGTTTTAAAAATAAATTTAGTTTAACGTTTTATTATAGCTGAACCTTTCATGAGTCAACAGTAAAATAAACTGGTAATACAAAGAATGTTTAACAGTTTTCTATGACAAATGAAGTTTCTATTCTAAATGTATATATTTAAGGAAAAAGCATGAAGTTTAACCTAACATAGTGCATAGATGTGATAACCATTGTTACTGTGGTAAGTTCAAATTTTAAAAAGTTTGATAACAAAGTGTGTAAATTTGGGCCCCATTTTTAGGTTTGCCAATTCCTTGGGGCCCAACCTTGGAGTCAACTGGTGTTGATTTTATGAGACAAATGGTCTACCACTTTCTTGGTCAGTTGCTATCCTTTACTACTTCAAAGTAACCCAATATATTTGACAAGTTTCAAAATAATTGCAGTACAAGGCATGTTAAAAAAAACAATTGATTTACTAATTAAATAATAAAAGCATCCTACTTGCAGATAGGTGTTATGATTTCCATTGGTCCTATTTTGTCTCAACACCAGTAAAACATTCTATGTTGATTGTTGTTTCAAGAAATTAATAAGCGAACCCAGCTAATAAGAAAGAAATAAATAACTTATAGAATACAAACTTTCTCAACTTGTTAGTATAAACTTGCCGGTTACCACAACATCTTTAATACACTGAACTTCCAACTGGCATATACAAGGCAATTACTTATAGTTTCACTGACAAGATAGGGAACTGATGAAAATCTCACAATAACACACACAATAATCTTTTTACAGTGCTAAAAATAACATAGGCCTGATTTTTCCAGTTTTTATATCCATTAACAAAAATTAAATCAGCTTGAAAATTATCACTTTTCTATGATGGGATACAACTAAAGTATATTTAAATTTAAGTATCAATGAGATGAGTTAATAGTGTATGATTTTTTAGCCAGGATCATTATTTAAAAGCCCCATTATTATGTTATTAGATGAGAAGAACAGTCCAGAAGGGAAGAAGATGAGCGAGAAGAAGGGGGGAAGTAAAGGTGAGAAGAAAGACAAGAAGAAGAAGAAGAAGAAGTAGAATGAAATAATGTATATCAAAACACATGGGGCAACCACTACACGTAAAAAAATAAATTTGGCTAAGATATATGATGTACAGTTATTTTCTGTTAAGTAATAAACGTTTGTATCTATAATGGTGGTTTAATTTATAAGCAGAATATGTTAAATTATAGTTGTAGTTTTTGTAATGATAAGAATAATTCTAACCTTGGCAACTTAAAACCAGAACCAGTCCTAATTCAGTTATATAATTTTTGAAAGTTTTGTATGTGCACTTGAACAAGTTTAACAGGTCATAGAGTAAGTATAGTCTATATATTAATAGGCAAGCATGTTTCTTTAAAACCTTTTTTCTCAGCTCTTTTTCATAACAGGGAAAATCTACGCATAATCACATGTTTTATTTACAGCATGGGATGAAAATAGAGAAGCCTGTACCTTTGACTTACAACTAGACATTCCATCCCTGTGTTAAAGTTGTCGCCAGTTTTAATTAAATTTGTCGAAGTTCATGTAGGCCACCAACAGATTGCGCTGATCTAAATGACTAATTTCTCTCGAATACACAATGATTTTTACCAAGTCAAGCTTATGGAATGACTTATTAAGAGCTATAGCAACTAACTGTTATGACCAATCAACTTTGTCAGCAACCAAAACTAAGATAGAAAATATAATTTTAGACACGCATACTGTAACTGGTTCACACAACTACATGTTTTTAATAAAAAATGGCGACAACTGGTCCATGTAGATGGAATGTCTACTTCAGTATCCAATATTCAATGCGGGTACATTACATAATTTTGGTCAAGTTTTCGACCACAGGACGACCACTAGTTTGCATTAATTTATTGGTATCCCTTAAAATTATTATCACAAGAAGCTTTACTTATGCATCATAAGCAGGTGAGATTGCAAAATACAAGATTTTTTTTCCTTTGAAGCTATTGTACTGTAAAGAGTGTTACAGTTCATGAGTTTTTTCTTCATATAAATTCTGAAAAATTTTTGTTTTTATGCTCTTGGAATAAATATTTATTTATTCTTATAAGTTAAATAAATAGCATCACAAACTTTGGCAACTTTAATAAAGTACTACCGGCCTCCCGATGCTTAGCTGTGGCAATTGTCTGCAAAGTGATAACGCAAAAATCTAAGTTAAATACAAAACACATGCATTTTTGGTTGATGTCAGTCACTTTTATTTATCTAAATTCCAACAAACATTGTGCAAAGATCTATATATTTATTTTATTTTCCTGCTATGTGTACTAAGTAATTCACTTGTAATTGACGTAAATTAAACCATTTACTACTACACACTGTAATCAGTAACTGAACACAACTCCTATTGTTCTTTAGTACCGAGAGACAATGCAATTGTTTGGAAATAGGAACATCTATTGGTATCATGACAGTATATGAATGGAAAAAGACTCAGCTAAGGCCTTTGGAAGCTTTTTTCACTAACAAGTAACAAGTAGCGCCCACGGAGTGGGTTCAAGGCTTGACGTGGTTGTTGTTCCTTTAAGGATTTATCACTAACACCAAACTAAATCTACATATATATGATAGTAGATCATACCACACACCATACCTAACAACCTTATGCTGCTAAAATATGCAGAACAATTTCATAAAAAATTATACATAACTTATTTGTCATAACATAACATGATTTTAAATTATACATGAAATTACGATAGTAATTTTTTTGGCACACACCACTAAAATCACGATCCTCCTTTAAAAAGCAATATCCCGAATACAAAAAATAGTTGTTTTTGTAATAAAGTCGTAGACTTTAAAGCATTAAAATGTTTCAAAAATGTTAGTTTTTTAACATGTTGTAGTTCTATAGCCGTTCATTTTAACAACATTATGAAGAGGGCCGTTCTTGTTTAAAAAATATTGCACATTATTTTTACATGATATATTTTTTGCTAATCTGTATATTTTTTTAATATTTCATAAAAACAAAAAAAAATCAATTTTTTAAATGTTTATAATTAATATTGTGTGGTCGACGTGTCAGAATTTACTCATTGTTGAGGAATTGAGACCTTAGTCCAGGATCTGAAGGGGGTTGAGCATGCATGAAAAGGGTGACATAATTTTATTTCTGATTGTTGTTATAGGCACTATAGTGATCACGAAAACGCATGTTGTCGCCCCCCAGCGTGGTCGACATCCCGGGGGGAGGGGGGCAATATGGCGGGGGGCACCGTTTACTAAAACGCCTATAACGCGAGAACTATTCTAGGTAGAACATCGCAATAAACGTCAATTTACTCAAAAAAATATGATCTTTAAAGAGGTTAATGTAGTGAAATTCGTATCTTTGTTGGTTTTTAGTTATTTTAAATTGAAGCTAAAATCTTCAATTTACAAGGTAAAAATGGGGTTTTTCCAATTTTGACCCTAATAGTTTGGTAATTTGCAATTTATTTCTTAAACCACTTTATAGAGCTTAAAAAAATAAATAATTTAGTATAGCAAAGGGCTGTTGTATGCCAAACGGTTATGCAGATAATAAAAAAAAAAAAACTGAAATTCAAAATTCCCATGTTATTCTTATGGAGAATCAAAAAACGGTTGTAGTTTGCTTATATATGGATATATTATAATCAAATTTGGCAATTTTGTTTATTTCATACTAAGCTATCAACATTTCAATAAAAACTCACCTCAATACCTTCCCTGTAGCAGCAAACCTATTTATTTAAATAGGAAATAAAGCTGACAGTTTTCAGGGAAAATTTGAGTATAATATAATATTGAGTCTGCAGGTTTACTGCAGCAGGGGTACTTTTTAAAGCAACCAAAATTGCAAGTAACAAGAGACACTTTTTAAGGATAAACATAGCTTTTATATTTGTAGGTCTATGAATAAAATAACTTTACAATTAAATTTAAACATAAATATGCTGGGACATTTCATTATAGTATTGAGCAGAAGAACCGTAAAGGCAGAGTGCCAACTGTGGAATTGAACTAACACAAATATAAATAGGATACACCATTTCACTGTACAAAACTTAACACAGACTTAACACTTATTTAACTTGGAATGAACTGCACAAACAATTATTTATTTAATTTTTACCACTAAACAACGCAGATAATCCATTGCGTCTGACTCTTCATTTATTTTGTCAATCAGCTGATATGCATTGTTGCATTATTTCCAACACGGTTTAGTGTTATGGAAATTTATTGTGAATAATATCATAGACTAACGAACACAAGTAGACTTCTCATCTCATTGTTAATTCTAAAGCTTTGTTCATATATAGTTCATGTTGGCGACACTGGGCGCTAGTGTACACAAAATTGTATTTCTATTGTTTTACGGTTGATTTTATGATGACTGCTTTTCTTTTTGGTTACATGAAATAGGGACGAGCTGTTGTTTATGGTATATTGATTTATTTCGCTTCATAAGTTTTAAAATAACTGAAATAACAAGAAACAAATTTTATTTAATAAAAACACACCTCTAGCACCGGTTGATCTACAAGGATAACAAATTTACCTTTAAGAAGTATTTTTAATCTACGATAATCAACGTAGTGTTTCGCAACTTAATAAATGTTGCAAATCCAGTCTCCTAAAATTTTAAGCCGGTATTTACTTTTTAAAAGTAAATCATTGGGTTTTGCCATGAAAAGTTTGAAATCAAGGCTCCATGCGTCATTTCAGTACCGGTACCTAATAAAATAACTATGTATTCTTCTACAATACATACTCTTAGAGCTTTTTAAAACGCCATTTTGAGTTTTATTCACAATAAAAATTCAAAGACTAAACCTTTATAGTTAATTAATTAATCAAACAATGCATATCGGCAATGAAGTAGAGAAAACAGGGATACCAAATTATGATCTATGTTTGCCTTAACAGTGACTCTTGGAACTTGTAATTTAGGTTGCTTTAAAAAAAACAGCTTGTAAATTGAAGATTTTAGCTTCAATTTAAAATAACTAAAAAACCAACAAAGATACGAATTTGACTACATTAACATTTTTAATTTTATGAGTAAATTGACGTTTATTGTAATGTTCTACCTAGAATAGTTCTCGAGTTATAGGCGTTTTAGTAAACGGTGCCCCCCGCCATATTGCCCCCCTCCCCACCGGGATGTCGACCACGCTGGGGGGCGACAACATGCGTTTTCGTGATCACTATAGTGCCTATAACAACAATCAGAAATAAAATTGCGTCACCCTTTTCATGCATGCTCAACCCCCATCAGATCCTGGACTACCTGGTGGGCTGTTGGAGATTAGCTGAAAAAGTTAGAATTAATGTAAGAAAATAATTAATTAATTAATTACTGTACCTACCAATTAAAACTTTTAACTATTAATTTTTTAAAAACTGGAAATTTATGGATTTTCTAAGAAATCTATTTTATGGTTGAGATCTTATATAACAGGTAGATTTCAAAGAACTGCTATTTTAAAAGGAGGTTTTCAGTCAAAATCTGAATGGAATGAAATTAGAGTAGGAGTCCCACATGGCTCTATTTTGGGTCATCTTCTTTTCTTTATATAAATGACTTAGATGAAAATATTTTCTCATAATTTAATACTGTATGCAGATGACACAACTGTTGTTGTTAAAACTAAAACAGAGGACGATTTATGGGTGAAAGTAGAAGAAGCATTAATAGATCTTAGAGGGTGGTTTGAAATATACGGACCAAAATTAAATCCAGAAAAAACACAACAGGCAAAATTTAATACGATACAATCCCGAAATTTCACAGATAAAACAAGAACCAAAACTGTCAAAGGTACTAAATTTTTAGGTTTGCATGTTGATTCAAATTTAACCTGGACCAAGTGCATTGAAAACATATTACATAAGCTTGATTCTGCTTGTTTCCAAATGCTTTGTTTGAGAAACATTTTAGATATGTAAACATGTTTAATTATCTATTTTGCCTATTTTTATTCAATACTGCATTATGGGATTGAATTTTGGGGATTCTCATCAGAAATAGAAAAGATTTTAAAGTAAAAAAAATAATTAAGAATTATGACATTTGCTAAACAGAAATATTCATGTAGACCATTTTTAAAAAACTTAATATAATGACTGTACCAAGTTTAATTATTTATAAATCCTTATAAATGGTACAGTCAAATTTTGAAAACTTATGTGCGGAGACTTTTTACCATCCATATAACACCCGTTTCAAAAAGAATTTTCAGTTTCTGAAAATTCCAATTAAAATTAATAGAAAAAACACCAAAATATATGGGAAAGAAATTTTGTAATAAGCTGTAAAAGATTTTCAATATTATGTTTCATAAAATAACGCAAATAATTATTTCTAAGAATCTTTGTATATTGTTAGTATTTTAGGTACTTATTATGATATGTATTATGATTATATTGACAATGTCACCTGATTTTGTAGCTTTTGATATGTAATCTGTGAAACGTTTATGTGACAATAAAGATATATTTATTTATATATTTATTATTTATTACTCCCTAACTTGATTCAACACTGATCAGTGAACATCTTAGTTTGAAAAGTAGTGGTAGGCCTACTTCAACAGCTTTGATTGGCCTTAACAGGTCTATAACTGTACAAAAATATGCCTTGTGTTTGTGTATGAATGCTCACCAACATCTAAGAACTGGCTAACAAATCATGTTAATATATAGGACTACAGTACAGTACACTTCCGATTAAACAATGTTGAGACTGACACTACCTCGGTTACTGAGAATCTCGTATTACACAGACGTCTCTTAGATTTTGAGGTTAGGGGTTACGGTATCCCATTAAGAAGTCAAATACTTTATATAATTTAAAAGTAAAAACAAAATGATCAATGAATGGTATTTTTATGGAAATATTTTTATTTTAATAAGGCAGTGTTATTGAGGAAAACCATAAATCAAACCGCTTAACACTTCTTAAATTGTCTTGGAAAACTTTAAATACAGAAGCATACATATTATTAAATGATGCTAAGTCAACACTTTACAGGATAAAATAAATGAAAACAAAATAAGGGTGATCTATTGATCTCTATAGATTTAAAGTATACAATTAATTTATATTCTTGAGTGTGGCAGATTGCGTGAAAATATAATAAATATATCTATGGTTCTTACCGTCAACGCAATCAGGGGTAGTATTACACTACGGCCGTTTCGGAGATGACTCCATCGTCAGGTGCGTAGTGGTACACTAAACTATAGTCTTGTCACATTTAACACGAACATTCTTCATTTGCATTGCGTCAGGTGTTGAATAAATAATACACATATATATACAGGACGGACACACGAAAACACGAATACACGAAAACATTTAAAGCGCGTGCACGGCTTGAAAACTGACGACCGACCAAAAGGCGATACAAGCCTAAATGCCAGAGCAGAAATGTCATTGCTTTTGTTGGTGTTCTGCTTACCAATGGTTAGCGGCCATCCTAGTAAAACTTACTGTGAGTGGAATTTCATCTTATAGGTTACTGAGGATAATTTGTACGTTAAAATAATACCTATAATCATTATTTAAAGTATTTATTTTAAGAAATCACAAATTACTTGCTATTTTTACTTTACTTTCAACAGAAACTTTCCTAAAAACGTAATTATTGTTTCCCAAATAAAAACATATTTAGTTCTTAAACAACCTCGGATAATCGAGAGTGTACTGTGTTGGAAAAAACAAGAGTGGGAATGCTTCACTATACCACTGTATTGTACATGCTGAGTGCAGGAAATTAGAAACAGCTCAAGTTGATGAGTTATACAAATTCGAAACAGCTCAAGTTGATGAGTTATAAATTGTTATCTATTGGTTGAAAAGCAATAAATTGGGCTAGTCTGCCGATTCAATCTATTTGATACTTGACAGTGCTATTTGCACAAATGAGAAACCAAGAAGATTAGATATGATTGTATCTTTTTATTTGGCAATACCTTAGCAAACTTATTCACCTATGCTATCATTCCTCAATTCCTAAACCAACTTTTATAATTGCTACTATACATTAGTGATTAGCAAAGGTACATTTCCAGGTAATATATAAATGCATTTTAGTATTCCTTTAGCCCTATATCTTATCATCTTACTAATCTTACTAATATTATAAATGTGCACTTTAGCTGTCGCCCTCCCAGCAGCGGCCGGCCATCATGCCGCAGTGAACATGTTAAAACTGCTCAAATTGTTCTTGATCTTATCCAATTAATTACTTAACTGTATGGTTTTTTTCCATTTGTATGGTCTTAGTTTCATTTTATTGAATATCCTACATGGGGAATAAGCTACAGTATTTATATTTGTTTCAGTATGAGTGGAGGCAGAAATAATGGAGGTAGAGGTGGTGGAGGTAGAGGTGGTGGAGGTAGAGGTGGTGGTGACAGAGCAGAAGGGAGCCGTGGTAATATTGTAGTTCCAAGAGGTAAGAGAACTGTATGGGCCTACAGAAACTTTGTTGTTTTTTGGAAAATATTAATAGTCTGTATCGTATGCAATAATTAAATATTTCAAATTTTATCTAAATATCATAACAAGTAAATTACAACAGTTTACTTTCCATAAGAATAACATGGGACTTTTAGATGTGCAGTTTCTTGAAATTTTCCATGTTCCTTTAATTGTACAACACTTTAATATAAAAAAAAATGGTTTTTTAAGCTCTACATGACTTTAATGAAAATTGAGTACTTCCATGTTTTAAGAGTAAAAATCAAAATAAACAATTTGTGAACAATTTTAAAACCTCATAGCATGTTGATGACTTTGACGAGATTGCGATCGTGGACGACAACAATGATGTTACTGCGATACCGGGAGTCGAAGATGACGTCTACATGGCCGCAAGAGATGTTCATGATTTTACCACGATCGCAGATGACGACGAAGACGTTTCCGTGAACGAGGGAGTTCATGATTTTGCTGCGATGATGACATCTACACGACCGTGAATGATGTTCATGATCTTGCTGTGACGGTGACAAACAGTGATGATGTTTCAGTAATTGAGAAAGATATTTTGGATTTTGCAGTGATCCCAGAATACGACAATTATCACGATATTGCTTTGAGTTTGGCTGGCACACCTCTATACAGGGTGATCAACTCAAGGAGGCCACCATTGGGATATCGGAAACGGTAAGAATTAGAGAAAACTTTAAATGGGGGACATTCCTTTACTTTTTGTGGCAGTTAAAAAAATGATTTTATTTTTTCAAAATTCAGCCGCCATTTTCCAAAATGTCGGCCAACTTTGAAATTTCTTATGCAACACCCTGTATTTTATCATGTTTTCGGATAGATCATGCAATTTAAAAACTTTTTTATTCTTGACATTTTTTTTGATAAACCCACTTGTTTAGGAGTTACAGCCTATGGAAAAATGACTTCCGATCAAAAACATCCATTTTACATCATGTAGCTCCCAAAAAAATAGGTTTTTAGCGAAAATGCGAAGTGTAAATAAGTCAAATAAGTCTTAAAATTGCATCCACATTCCATTAAGACCATAAAATACACATTTTTCCACTTTTCAAGTTTACCGCCATTTTGGAAAATGGCCGCCATTTTTAAATAATAGAATTAATATTTAAACAAATTTTATGGACTTTTTGGAATGTGGATGCATTTTTAAGACTTATTTGACTTATTTTCTCTTCGCATTTTCGCTTAAAACCTACTTTTTTTGGAGCTACATGATGTAAAATGTACACCGGAAGTCATTTTTCCATAGGCTGTAACTCCTAAACAAGTGGGTTTATCGAAAAAATGTCAAGAATAAAAAAGTTTTTAAATTGCATGTTCTATCCGAAAACATGATAAAATACAGGGTGTTCCATAAGAAATTTCAAAGTTGGCCGCCATTTTGGAAAATGGCGGCTGAATTTTGAAAAAATAAAATCATATTTTTAACTGCCACAAAAAATAAAGGAATACCCATTTAAAGTTTTCTCTAATTCTTACCGTTTCCGATATCCCAATGGTGGCCTCCTTGAGTTGATCACCCTTATAGTTCAGTACCTTAAATATGGTACCTAGTTATTTGATGTGAAAAAAAGGGTTTACACTTGGAAATTGGCTAGTTAAAATGTTTTATTGCTGCATACATTTCTTTACTTGAAAAACACCCTAGCCTATCTCAAAAATACTTAATAGAAATACATAAAGACCAGGGGTTGTTGTAGTATAACCAATCCATTCAGAAAACTTGGTAAAACTATTTAAAAATGGTATTGGTATTGAGAATAGGATTTTAGGTATCGGTATGAAGAATCGATAAATTTTGGTATCGACACATCACCAATTTCAACAAATATTTTTAATACTTCTGCTACATTATATATTATTTTGATTTGAATGTGTCCGGTGAAGTTTTTAGGGCTATAAGTCACTACTTGCAAAATTTAGTCAAAATCCTGGATTTCAAAGACATATATTACAGAAAGACAGACAGACAAACAGACATAGCTCATATTAGAGTATAATCAAAATTTTAATAAATGAAAAAACACACCTTTTTACCTTCCCTGTGTCAGCAAACCTAAGTAGGACTCATTACAAAAAAAAAGGATTTAAAGGACTGTTCACACCGGCGTAGCCAGACGTATTTATACTTTTTCGAAATACGTAGCTGACATAGCTCTTAATGTAGTTCATAGTGAGTGTTCACACCGGCGTACGTGAGCTACGGAAGCTACGGCGCTGCCGCTATGCCGGCTAGCTACGTGTAGCTCGCATAGCCGGATACGCGCATGCGCACTAGCACACCGGGGGGCTGTCACCGACACCCTCCCTCCACCACATAATTAATTTATAAGTAGTAAATTTTGGACTAAAACACAAAAATTCACTATCACTTAAAAAATCTTTCGCATTAATCTATCACATTAAAATTAGACTACCGGTATAACAAAACAATCTTAAGACAACTTTATATGATCAAAAAAATAATACTTCATCATACGAGTACCTGATGTCCACTAACTTTTTTTTGTTTATGCTTGCAAGTCTTATCAAAAACTATGTCTCTCTTAATATGGTTTATTATGGTTCATACATTGGGCTGACATTTATGAAACATTAATGAATTATTTCTAGACATAGGCCTGCATCTTTCTTACACCATAGACTATTTTATTATGTAATCCTTATGGATAAGCAAAATTATTGAATGTTTTCTGGTAATATTTTTTTATATTGCGCATATAGCGCAAATATAGCGCAAATCTTATAGTCTACTATAAACGGCCTAAAATTAAAGTGAAACATATTTGTCAACATTAACACATTAATCAACAGACTTTTCAGGGTACAAAAAAAAGCTGCAATTCAACCGTGGCAATCTTAACTGAAATTCAAGAAACACTAATTAAAATAAAAAAAAAATTGACAAGTATAAAATAATATAATTTAAAAGAAAGCAACAGCCGGCTCACCGGCTAGGCAGCTGTCAGACGTAGCTGCGGTGTGAACAGTGCACGGGCGACGTATTAATACACCGAATACGTCTGCAGACGTCTAGCTACGCCGGTGTGAACAGGCCTTAAATAGGAAATATGAAAATTTTAATAAGGGAATATTTAGGTAAAAATCTAGTCAGGTAGATGGAAATTCGCTTAGTCTACAGGTTTGCTGCGACAGGGGTATTAAAAAATACAACTATATTGTGTTTTAGTGCATGTCATGGATGGTTGCCAGCAGAAAAGCAATATTAGCTTTAGTAGTAAACAAATTTACTGGAGTGTGTATTCATCATGATCATTTATCAGTTCAATCAGTGATTGCAGCAAAATGTTGAACATCTCTAATGTGCTCTACAATGGTAAGGACATCATCGTTGTCTCTAACGATCGTGGCAAAATTGAGAAAACATCCCTCGCGATTGAGAAAACATCCTAATTGTCTTCCGTGATCACAGCTTAATCTTGAGCATACCCGGCCATTGCGAAGATATTATCATCGTATCCTGCAATCATGGCAAATTGAGATTATCTCCCGTGATCACAAAGACATCATTATCTTCTCCCGTGATTGTGAAGACATTATTATGGTATCCCCTGATTGCAAAGTCATTATTGTCTCCAGTGACCACTGCAAAATTATCCTCAAAAATAGGCAAACTGTTAGATAGTTAAATGTATAAGTAATTAATACAACAGCTGATTTATCTATATATATAATTCTGTAAGACCAAATTTTTACCAGAAAATTGTGAACGTCTGGTAAGTCGCAGAAAAGTGGGAGGGGTCTTAAATTAAAGGTCTTGACCCCAGGGACTCAGGAAAAATAGCAGAATTCCCATAAAATTACCATAAAACGAGATATAACGTAAAATATCCACCATAAGAAATGCAAGGGGACTGATAAACGTCTGCATTATATCAGCTGTTACTTATTTATTTGCAATGTTTACATTTATTCTGAAAGTCAATGTTGGTAAATAATGTTTCAAAATGAATTGTGTTTAATTTTTTTGTTTTCCGTTTTTATAATGAGTGAAGTAACTAGACAGGGTAGGGGAAGACCTGCAAGACGTGGAAGAGTGTCCAGGAATTCAACAGACTTAAGAAATGCAAAAGAGAACGTCATGTAGGGCCTAACTGTGAAAGAAATCCAGAAGCTGTTTTACAACAGGTCTTTAGAAGAACGCTGGAAAGTGAGTTGAGTGTTGTTTCTCACAATTTAGGTCCCCTTAAAGCACTTGCATGCATTGTGGCGCATTTCACTTCGCAGAGGAGGCCACAAATGGACATTTCAATGCATGTTGCCACAATGGAGATGCCACAACCACAAGTAAATGACGAACTAAAAGAACCGTTTTTACATGATTCGATCTTCATAAAAAACATAAGGCAATACAACAGTACAATGGCTTTTGCGTCACTTTGCGCTACACAAAATGAGATTCCGGGAAATGGGCCTTACTGTCTTAAAATTCATAGATATATTTCTGACTTACTTACCTCGAAATGGGGAGTTGCCTTCATAATAATTAATAATAGTTTTAACCTTTACATTTGGTTCTCAATATGGAAACTAAAACAGAATTCGTAAGATTACAAAACAAATCTTCAATTCTAAACTAAAAAAGATGTGCAATGTTTGGCTGTATGATTTCAGCTCTGATTCGTCGTTCTCCGGGCTCAGGCCAAACCGTGTGCACGTTTCCATTTCTTAATATGTTGTGTTATTGATTTAATCATTACGGTATTTTACAATTGTATTTCATTGACACATCAGAAGCAGCTAATATACGACTCCAACGGAAGGGAAACCAAGATATAAAACAAGAAACACTGTTAATTTAAGTTACATAAAATTGATAATTTTAGAAACATATTTAGAATATTTGTCTTTTTATATATGGTTGTTTTATTGTAGTCTAAATTAGGGGCTATGGCCCCTACAGGCCACTAGTTATTATTAAGTTTGTTAGTAAATATTCTGTTTAAGTTGATGTGTTTAAGAAGTCAATAAAATGTTTCTTTTATATTTTAATATCATTTAGTGTAATTCTACATTGGCGACGATGAGTAAACGAACCAAAAGAAGAAATAGTTATTTCAATGAAGAAGATAAGTATGAAACTAAAGAAGACGCATTACAATCAAAGATAGAGAAGTTCAAATGTCAAAGCTATGATGAGTCTAGTAGGTGGGATGATTATGAAGCACCTTTTCTATTGTTATGCAAGGTAAAAGGATTGGGAGAAGATTCTCAGAGAGCAGAGAATGCTCGAAGGGATCTTTTGCTTGCCTATGTGGGTCCTACACCATTAAGAAAAGTTTCAAACTTTCTGCTGCCTTTAAAAGTACATCAGGCTACGTGGGCAGAACTAGTTAATGGTTTCAGGTCAGTATACAAAGCTAGTAAAACTATATTTTCAGCTAGAATGGAATTTGAAAAAAGTATCAGAGAAAATAGTGAAAGCCTTTCAGAATTTGTAATACGTTTGAAATATTTAGCAGATTTTTGTAAGTATGAGAACAAGTTTGTTCAAAGAATAAGAGATAGATTTGCTGGAGGCATAAATTTTCCAGAGTTTGAAGTAGAAATTAGACAACGATGGGGTAAAAGAAAATGGTGACAAGTTAACATCTGAAGATGTTTTTGAACTGGCCACTTCAATGGAAAGAGCTCGTCATGAGATATTCAAGAATAATGATAAAGAGTTGGAAATATCACAAGTAAGAAGAATGATAAGGAGTTTAAAAGAGAAGTGAAATACAATGAAAAGACAAATCATCCATGTAGTAGATGTGGAACAAAGCATGAATTTGGTAAATGTCCAGTCTATCAACAAAAGTGTTTGAATTGTAAAAAAATAGTACATTTTGCAAAGGTATGTCGGCAAAAACGAGTGAATAATTTGCATGAAAAGTCAAAAGATGAAGAATCTGAATCGGACTCACCTGACATGAGGATAAACGATGTTAAAAAGGGAAGAAAACATATTTGTAAAGCACGTATTCATTTAAAGTTAAATAAGGTACAGTAGAACTCCGATTATCCGAATCAATAGGGACCAGACCCCATTCGGATAATCAAAAATTTGGATAATCGGAGTTTTACCGGAATTCCAGGAATTTTAAAGAAAAATCCTCATTTTCGGTACTAAGTGAACTTTTAATTAATGATAATTTAAATCAGAACATTTTTACAGTTTACAATGCTCATAGTACTTCTATACATGTTATTAAGTCAATAGTGTTCCATCAAAGTCCAAAATTGGCTAAATGTGTTTAATAACAATTCTTTGATATTTTGCAAAACTTATTACTGTAGCTTTACATTTTTAAAATTGTTGAAATAAGCGATTCGGATAATTGGAGATTCGGTTAATTGGAGTTCGGATAATTGGAGTTCTACTGTAGCTCCAAACATGGGATTTGACTCTGGAGCTTGGGCCTCAATGATAGGTAAGCCTCTTTGGGAAAAAATTGGTTCACCAAAAATTGATAAGACTAATTCAAAATATGTGGCATATGGAAACAATATTTCAGATATACTTGGTGAATGTTATGTCAGTGTTTCAGTAGGTGATGAGACACGTAGATTAAAAGTAGCAGTAGTTAATGGAAATGAGAAACCGCTGTTTGGTTTACCATGGATATTAGCCTTCAATATGATACAAGACTTGTAAATGAGGATATCATTGAAGAGGTAGATCCTGCTGCTACACCTATTCCCTGGGCTACCCCAACAGTTAATGCAGAGAAGAATGATGGCTCATTAAGAATTTGTGGAGATTTCCGAGTCACTTTGAATCAAAATTTGGTCCCAGAAAATGCAATTATTCCGACATTTGAGGAACTAACAAAGTTGCAGGTGGACAAGAGTTTTCCAAGATAGACCTACGAGATGCATACCTACAAATGGAGGTTGCAGAAGAACAACGAAAGTATTTAGTAATAGCAACGCATAGTGGTTACACTAGCGTCTAGACTGCCAGTGCAACTCCGAGCCCGAGGATCGTGGATCAGATCAGTAGATCACCCCCCACCACCGCACCATGTCGTACGCTTCCGAATCATACCGGCGCATCAGCATAGCTTATCTAACTGTTCGCGGAAAATTGTTATCTGTATCACTGTCGCTGTCAAAACTTATAATTTGTAGATTAAATTTGAATTAAATATAATTAAACTATCATAACCTAACCAAACTAACCAAACTTGCTGATAATGATAAACTCGAATGAAGGTTTACTAATAGAAAAATAGCTCTGTTCTAAAAAAAAAATTATAAATGTCTCAAATTCAATTTTACAATCTTTTAATTATAAAATTAAACTGTCATAACCTAACCAAACCAACCAAACTTGCTGATATGAAAAAAATTGTTGACAAAAAGTTAGTGCTCCCGGTGGGATTCGAACCCGGCACCTTCAAATTATCAGCCCGACACGCTATCCACTACACCACAAAGGCTCATGACTCAGTTCTGTATCGTTGCAGTAATGGTTGACGTCACGCCATCGGCACTGAGCGGTGGTGGGGGGTTTTTCGATCTGATCCACGATCCTACGATCCTAGGAGTTGCACTGGCAGTCTAGATGCTTATTAGTCGTTACTATAGATACAAACGTTAACCTTTTGGAATATCATCTGGCCCAGGTATTTTCCAAAGATATATGGAAAGACTCTTAGCTGGAAAAGTTAAAAATAAAAATGGACTGTACTCATATGATGTACTTTGTGGAGGTGTTATGAAAAGGAAACATGCATACCAGATGAGACAAAGAATGGGAGCTGTTGAATCTGTGTAAAAAGAAAGAGGGGAAAAGTGTTAGATAGTTAAATGTATAAGTAATTAATACATCAGCTGATTTATTATTATTAAGTTTGTTAGTAAATATTCTGTTTAGGTTGATGTGTTTAAGAAGTCAATAAAATGGTTATTTTATATTTTGAATATCATTTAGTGTAATTCTACAATTTCCATCAACTATCACTTACAGTTTTTAAAATATAAAAAAACGGTGAATTGGAAAAACGGAATAGCTTGATGAGACTTTTAAGGCCCATTTATGACTTCTTCTATTAATTTACTTTTAGTTTATGACTAGCGGAGAATGCACTGTTTTAGGTGGAGGAAGAGGAGGTGGTGGAGGAGGTGGTAGAGGAGGAGGAGGAGGAGGAGGTCCAAGAGTGATCATAAGAACAACTGAAATAGTAATATCAAGAAACAAATCAAAATAACATTCAACCTATAAAGCACCAGACCTTTTATTTTCTAATATGCTGTATTTAACAAAGAACTGTAGTATAGCTAAATAGTGTTATTAAAGAACAATGAACTCTTTTGAGAATGATTGGAACCTTTATTTAACCCAACAGTTACGCTGTTAGTTATACCTACTGGATGATAAAAATAACTAACAAACAAAATAAGTTACGAAATGGAACTGGAAATTGTATTAGCATTACTACAATTTATTAAAGTTACCATTGTATTAAGTAATTTTATTATTACTCAGAGGGTTAATAAATAAATACTCCCGCGGTCAAGTGGATAAATAGTTTGCAAAATTTCAACTGCTGACTTCAACGTGGAATATTTAGAAATGTACTCGTAGACATTGTAAGAAAGAAAATTAATCAACACGTTAAGTTTCCTCTCTTCAGTAACTTCTGAGTCAGATATGAAATTTTCAAGTGTCCTGAACCGTTTGAATGCTCTACTTGCAGAAGGATTTTCAGGATTTATATCAAACCTGTCTGGTTTTATAAGCCTTTCCATTTTGATTTTGATTATCTTAATAAATTTCAGTTTATTAAATTTGTTGTGAATGAGAATGACTGAACCTTTTTAGAAAATAAGGCTTTAATAAACTTAAATTCCATAGCTGGAAAGGTAAACAAATCTCTAATACAAACGAAAAGTAAATAAATGCATCAGCTGATTACTAAGAACAGTTATTCATAATAGGCGGCATCTTTCTATGAAGAGGGTATAGAAAAGTTTGTTCCTCACTACGAGAAATGTCTAAACAATGGTGAAAACTATGTAGAAAATAGTTAAAGATATCCTCTTTCTTGTAGTAATACATTCTGTTGAAAAACACAATAATCTATATGATTTTTTCTAAAACGGTACTTTCTTTCTGGACAAGCCTTGTAGTTTGGTCATTTTACTATACTTACAGATGAAAAAGAAATAAAATTCTGTATTTAGCTCATCAAGCGTAGAAACCGAAAGATTTGCAACACCAATCTAATATGATGAATTGCTCGTCTTTTAAAACTGAATTATTTGGTGATTTCTTTTTACCAATTTGGGTTAAACATCTCAACTACCGATATTTGAGGCAGAAAGCCACCAACTAGAATTGGACGGTGAATTGAGGATGTGGATTTTGGATCAGAGACATGGACAAGTACTCCATTCTCATTACTGTGGCAAATAAAGCCCTTACCTCGTCATCCATCGCAAACAGTTCCTCCAACGGTATGTCAGTGGTGGGAGGTCGACCTGGACCTCTGCCTCCCGTCGAGTTGGCTCTCTTGAACACAGCTCTCTCAGCATTCTGAGAACACATATACACTTGTTTCAACTGATATGAGAAACTATGTTTTACCTTAACTGCATAATAAAAATACCCCCGTCGCAGCAAACCTGCATACTAAGCAAATTTCCATTTACCCGGCTTGATTTCTACTAAAATATTCCCTATAAATTTTCAGATTTCCTATTTAAATAACATTAATTTTAGTGAGTAGTTAGGTTTGCTGCTACAGGGAAGATATTGAGGTGTTTTTTTTTTTTTTTTTTTTTTTTTTTGAAATGTTGATAGCTTAGTATGAAATAAACCAAATTGCCAAATTTGATTAAAATATATCCATAAACAAGCAAACTACAACAGTTTATTTATTCTCCATAAGAATAACATGGGAATTTTAAATTTACAATTTTTTAAATTTTCTCCGTAGTCAATGAACATTCAAAAACACTTCAATATACTAAATTATTTGTTTTTTTAAGCTCTTCAAAATGGCGAGAAATTTAGAAATTAAAAGTTTTTAGGGTCAAAAATGGGAAAAATCAATTTTTACCCCATAAACCCCTGTTGCCATAGTCTGATTATGCTGGTTCACGAACTCGTTCGAATAAACATAGGTTTACACGTTTGTACTAAATTTCATCAAAATTGGATCATTTTTGCTCGAGTTATCGCGCTAACGGACACATATATAAATATATATATATATGAATTTGAACGGATGGTGTTTTTGGCCTATGGGGACCTCAAAATGAAAAAGTAAATCGGTCCCGGGTCTAGGTCTTACCATGAGACCTACGGTAATAGCTTATTCCCTATATGGGAAATTCGCTAAAAGAGGATATTAAAACATTTGGGTACACCATCTTTAAGGTAGGTTGATAAAGGTTTTTTTTTAGTCTCTAGCTCAGAACCGTTCTTCACATTACTTCAGGCTATGCCAACAGGCATTATCACATGGTTCAAGCTAATAGTGATTGGCAGGATTTGAACCCGAGCACCTCAGGACCGAAGCTCTGTGCTGTACCACTAGACTAGATTAATTTGTACAGCCATACTCATATTGAATCATGTAAATAATTTTGATGTTAACGTGCTACTATCCCAACTTGCATTCAAGTTTTTTGTAAGCATCAAAGTCACTCAAATCCTGAAGTATTTTAAATAGATAAGGCAACACTCTAGTTTCATCAATATATTCAATTACCTTTAACACAATAACTATTAAGATCTCTGGACTTAAGTAAATATAAGAAATAGTACCTACTACAACAAGTTTCGGCCATAAATTATTATTCCATCAAGAAATATTATCAAGATACTAAGGATGTACCTATCAGTAAAGTGTACTACCAACCTTCTGCTGGTTCTGTAATGTCAGAATCCCATTGAATTTGTCACTGTTGACTGTAGGTGTGTTGGTTCTACTGCTAGAAGAGCTTTCAACTCCACTGTCAGCACCAGTAATACTCTCAGGTTCCTAAAATCGTTAAAACACGTTGAAATATGAACAAAAGAACATTATGTTTTCAAAAGATTAATTATCTAAAATGTAAACCCCCATCTATTCCTGAAGTAAGGACCCATACCTAAATGAACGATGCACTTACTACGCAGAATTAACTATATGTTGTGTACCTCAATAAGTGGGATTTGAGAAGGATTCAGTGTGAATGCTTCGCACGGGTCGGCTAGTTTTATATTATTTTATTTGTATTAAGTAATACAAATTTAAAAAAAGTATAACTAAATGGAAAACAATTTCATGGTTACTAAGTTGGATGGAAATGGTGTTTTTTTCTAGACGGTAGGTAATCAAGATAAATTTTACAAGCCATTCTAAAGCTCTGCAATGGCTATCCAGGCAGTAAATAAAACTTTGTCCACTATCTTGGAATCAGAATGTTTTAAGTTCAGTACGGTACCACTAGCCCAATTTAGTATGTTTTATTCTTACGTTAAAACAGGACAAAAATACGGATTTAAATTGATTGATATATTAATATTTCTATGTGTACATAAAAAAGGAAAGGGAAAGGAATGATGACAGAAAACCAAGTGAAGCAGTGACCCATTGATTTTATAATTGCTGAACCAATGTCCAATGTTCACTACGGTAGGCTTAGTTTGCATGAAACTGATCAAACTGTAGTGAAAATCAATGAAAAACATATTACAATCATATTGTTGAATACAAAAAATAATGACTATAATATAATTGTACAATTACCTCGTCACAGCTCCGTAGTTTCCGTATATATTACGGCCGTTTCAGCATCAAAATGCCATCCTCAGATACATACATCCACCGGATTTGGCGTCGTCAAATTAAATTTATTTATTTATAATTTATAATATATTTATTCAAAAACAGTCAGCTTCCGTACACGTACTCATCATGTGCGCGACAGGCCTGTCTTTTGTTTTTTATGTTTTAAATGTTTGTTATCGTGTTACGTGTGTGTTTCAAGTTTGACGACGCCAAATCCGGTGGATGTATGTATCTGAGGATGGCATTTTGATGCCGAAACGGCCGTAATATATACGGAAACTACGGAACTGTGACGAGGTAATTGTACAATTATATTATAGTCATCAATTCAGCTCAGGGGCTAAACCATGTCTATCGACAAAAAAAATGCCCTCAAATTTCATAGAGTTTTATTTGTACAGTTTAAATAGAGAAGAGAAACCATATTCTGTCAACACACATCATTACTATATGACCCCGAGTGTCAGAAAATATAATACAGTAACTCCACTTTGGGAAAAAATTTATAACAAATTACCAGAACGTATAGAACCCATAGAAACAATCAACAAATTCATAAAAGAAGTGTCTAAATTATTAGACAAGACATATTACAATGTCAACTCTTTTATGAGTGATGTGTTGACTTAATTTTAGTAATTTAATATTAAGAGTCTTTTTAGTCTTAGGTTTGGATTTTAGTACTTCATTACAATTCCACCTGTATGTCAGCTTTGCTGGATTTTATGTTATGTAAGAATTTAATGTTATTTGAAAATAAAGGATTGACTATTGACTGTTGACTATTGACTATTGACCACTACTCACCCCCACCCTAGGTGTAAACTCAGGATCAGATCTGAGAAGGATACAGAGGTTGGTGATTATCTTGGTGTTGGGACATGGCGTTCTGTCAACACACATCTTGACTAGATGGGCCAAATGAGTAGCAGAAAGATTCTGAAACAAAAAAAATTAAATTACTCTACCGGTAAAACAGGAAATAAAATTGTGTTCTCGGAACAGGCTAGGCCTATCCGTAAAACCAGCCACACTCAAATTCCTTCCTCGGAGTGCTCAGAAGAAGCCGATAAAATTTTAATATTACATGTCATTCATTCATCATTAATATTAATTTCTCTATTATTTTGCGTGTTTTCTCCTATAATGTTTTTTAATGCCCCTAATAAAGTGTTATGAGTTATTTAAAATGTTTCTCCTTGTTAAAATGTGTTATTTTATGCAATTTGTTAAATGTTATATAATATCCTATCAGACCACAGAAATATCATCCTTTATTTTATGTTAGAATTATAATGTTTATGCCAATTATCGCAATATCTATCTTGTACTTATCAAAAACCAACAATAATCAAATTTACTTAGAATAATATATCATTGTAAGAAAATTGCAATATAACAAAAATCTTAAATATACAAATATAGTATTTTTTTTTTTTATATTAGTCCAAAGAAAATCAAAATTACTGTGGCAAGTGTTATTTATGTGAATTCACCAGCTGTACCTTTCAACAATGGACATGTGACTATCAGAGCT